ATTTTTATCATAAAATTATATTTTATATAATTGTTTTCCTTTAAAAATTTTATTTCGGACAATACTACATTTATCTTTCACAAATTTGATTTTATAACATAATTAATTTTATCACATCATAACAAATAAATAGATGAATTGCTTTTTAAAAATAAAAAATATAAATACTCAACTAATGTCACGAAGTAATGAATTCTTTATTTGTACTAAATCTTTTAACGTAAAATTTTTCCAAAATTTTAAATCATTATTAAATTTCTATTTTAAAATAAAAAGAAAGGTCAATTCATCATTAATAAAATTTGCCACATAAGCAACCAATAAAGACTTGCCATCTCACCTTAATATAGCCCACATAAGCTTGTCTTTTGGCAACTTTCTAGCAAACGGAGTCTCAAATATTATATTAAAGGATTATATTTTTTATAACTAAAAAGAAATTTTTATACAATTTTTTTTTAATTATGAAACAAAAAGCACCCTAGCTTGGATGGTTAGGAACTCAACTAAATGACCAAGAGATCCTTGTTTCAAACCCCATGGTGGTGCTTTTGGAAAAAAATTGCAAAAAAAGAACTGGTCTAACCGGTCAAACAATTTGTCTAAAAGGGTGACATATCAGCTCGCCACATGTCGCGCTTTAACTTTGCCAAATGTCGCCACATGTCGCGCTTTAGCTCTGCCAAATGTCATGTTCTTATAGCTCCGACTCTGATTTATATATATAAAGGATTGATTTATAGAACATTGAAAAAGGCTCGATATCAGGCTCTAAACTATGTTGAATTAAGATTTTTATATTAAAGGGAATTTATATGGGTACTAAAAATATGAAATCATCAAAAGTACACAACTGCACACTTGTGTACTAAGAATCTGAATTCATCGAAAGAAGAAAACAGCACATTTCTATTTGCCAACCCAGTAGATCAAATAAGCAAGAAATAGATGGGTAACTTTTATCTTTATACCATATGCCTATACAAATTAAATACAAAATTCCTATTTGTCAAAATTTAAAAAATCAAAGGAATTTATATAGGTACCCAAAATCTGAAGTCATCAAAAGTACAGAAGTACACACATATATTGCTGAATTTTATTTGGACTTCATGATGATCACGAATATCAGTATTAGTATTTTTCATGAAACCTTGCGTAATTTTGTATAATTTCTTTAACAATCTTTACATCTCTTTATACTTTGCATCAGAGGGATTCCAAGGTTGCAAAGATTAATGATGAAATGAATAAGAAAGTTGCAGAAATCCAGCGATTGCACATAAACCTTCAGAGGAGAGACAATAAGGAAACAGATAAAGTAGTAGAGGATTTAAAAAGAGAAATGGCTGCATTGAGAAAAAAACAATGAAGTCAAGGTGAATAGCAAGAAATAGATGGGCAATGTATATCTTCATACCAGTAACAAGAGTAAGGGCTTCCATTCAAGTTATTTAGCAAAATAAATGAGGGCATGCAGTAAACACACTAAAAATGAAACAACAAAATAAAGGAAGATGAAACAGAAATGAGATATACCGAAGGTGTAGTAACCCAATGTTTAGTTGTAGAAAATTGGGAGAGAAAACAAAACAACTACAACAAAATAAATGGAGATGAAAGGGGTCCAGTGCTTAGGCCTCATATTAATGTCATCTAGCCATCACTAAAAAGGATAAACAAATTTTGTCTATAGAAGTGGGTGGAGTTCCAGCGGATTCCTAAATTTTCTAACACAGATAGCTGTGAATTCGAACTCTTTAATCCAAAAATTGAATAAGTGTATTAAAATTTGAACTCTTAAAAATTGAATAAGTGTATTAAAAATTTATACAAGTAACAAGAGTTAGCAAATCCATTTAAGTTTTTTCTGTGAATTTGAACTCTTAAAAATTGAATAAGTGTATTAAAATTTGGGTGAATTTTGAAATGGACTGAATTATAAAACCTTTGAACCTCTGGAAGAGAATGAATTTTGTTTGGGATTCCTTTTTTTTTTCAGCAAAAAAAGGCTGTAAAGTCCTGTCAGATTTTTAGCCATATACCAGAGAGCCATTATATCTACACTGAGCAGTCAAATGAAGAGTTCATTGTCCAATGGCAAAGACAGAGGGAAAAGAGAGAGATTCCATACAAACACAAGTAAAAACACTTCAATTCACACTATGTAAATTATTTTATGTCTTTTATTTTAGTAGGCATATTTCATTAGGAATATATATTGATGTCTTTTATTTATTATGCACGTTTCATTAGGTATATATATTAAAAATATTAATTTTAAAGAAGTTAAATATGCATTTTGCATACAGGGGTTGTCATTCAAGACATGTATACCTTTGGATTTAAGTAGTTGGTAGAAGCAACATTATAAGTTACTTGCCTTCCTTAACCTTATTGCTTGGGATAAATCTGGAAAACAGAAAAGAGTAATTGTTACTGACATATTAAGTTTTCCTATTCTTTTCAAATTAATTTAACATAAGAAAATAAAATTACACTCACTTGCATCACAAGTAGTTTCTTTAAAAACGATCAAGCCTGAAACATCGATCCAAAAAATTGGAATCATGAGGACATAATCCTTCGATTTCTTAGGCAGAAACAGAACTCAAAACCGGTGAAAGAAGATAAACATAAGATAGAGAGAGAAGGTAACGGAACAAATGGACAAGAATGCAGCGGCACAGCAGATTGGGAGAATACATATTGGCAGTAAATTAGTGTCATTAGATTAGTTTTGGTCTGGGCCGGTTATAAAAGTTTCCATGGGCCGAGTATTTTGTATGGATATAATTCTTTTTATTTTTAAAGCACCTCAAATCCTCAATGGGTTATAAAATTGTAAATTTCTTTTCAAGGTACCTCATTAAATTTTTTATATATTTTATTTTTACTAAAATAATGAATGTTTTACTAAATAGTAATATTATTACAGGTACAGATGTACAAAATATGATGGACTTTTTTTCTTTCTAGATTCACGACCCGTTAAGTTTATCACAAACACAAAGATCTTCTCTTTAAATAAATTCCTTGAATGACATTACCAACGGTTAGTTCTTTACTTAGTACTACATCCGTTCCTAATATTTGTCTAGATTGAACTTTTTCGGTAATTTGTATTTAACCTATACGTATTTTAAATATAATGTATATGTTATATTAAGAAAAGTAATATAATATTTTGAACCAAAATTGACATAATAAATCTAATACAAAAAAAATTTTGTATAAAATTATAATATTATTTTTTGTTTTTTGAGGTAAAACTTTATCGTTTTAAACCGAAAAAACACTAAAACTGACAAATATCCACAAGAGACAAAGGGAATAGCTTTCACAAGTAGGAATAATATTGAAGTTCACACACCTCTTATTTAAAATACATTGTCCTAAATTCAATGGAAATATAACTTCCTTTTCGTTTTTTGACTTAGTTAATTGTACCACACATCTTACACCACAGAAAAATTCAAAACAACCTAAACAGGAATACCACCATACTACCATGAATAATTTTCTTGAAGTGCCTGTATTATACAGTTTTGAAAAGTTTAAAGGTTTGCTTTATGTAATTTTGCCATGTATTTCATTAATTACCAAAGTTATCGATTTTAAAAATAACTTTGGTAAATTTCATAAGACTTATATTATGAGTTTTTCCTAAACAAAAAAGTTAGTGGGGAGACACCGTGTAGTGAGAAATCTTAATAATTCCTTCCCTGACGGATCGAAACCTTTAACATCTCGAAATCCTGAACGCAGGATATGACTAATATCAACATCGAAGGTTCATAATTATTTTGTTTAATATACACACATTTATAACAAAAAAAATCAGATATAGATTATTTTTTTCCTAATATAGCATTTTGTCAAGGAACTTTGTTAGACAATGACTATTAAATGAAGTTGATGGTCAAGGGCATATGGAAACAACAAAAACATTTAAAGACAATTTGAGCAACATACCTATAACTTTTAGCATGGCAGATGATACTGGTCTACCTTCCTTACAACTTTATTTTAAATTAGTGCTTGCCAGTTTGATATAAATGCTTCTTTAGTTGGGGATTTACACACCACAAAAGTATTTGAACGCAATCAGATCTTCAGGAATTCCGAACCACGAACTAACACTAAAAGTTGGCACTCCGATCATGCTTTTGCGTAACATTGATCATGCTAATGGTCTGTGCAACGGAATGCGTTTAATTGTTACAAGACTTGGTAACTGTCTATTGGAAGCAAAGACGATTCATGGAAAAAATGCAGGACAAACGTTTTTAATACCACGAGTTTCATTGTCTCTATCAGATACCAGATTACCATTTAATTTTCAAAGAAGATAGTTTCAGATTATGGTATCATATGCAATGACCATAAATAAAAGTCAGGGGCAGTCTTTTTTTCATGTTGGTTTATTCTTGAAAAAACCTATTTTTAGTCACGGATAGCTATATGTGGCCATGTCTAGAGTACGTTCTCGTGAGGGATTAAAAATAATTATTTGTAATTACGATAATTCTAGATGTAATACTACAGTTAATATAGTTTATAAGGAGGTTTTTGAAAATGTATGATTAATATTAAACATGCATTGTTTACTTTACTTCATTTGAATAATAGGTATCGATCATAGTCTACTTTTAATAGACATCTTTATTTTGGTAGTTCTATTTAGAATTAAATAAATTTTATGATTTGTGATTAACTTTATCTCTCCTTGCATCACACGCGTGATGCACTTGTATATATAAAAACACAATCAAAATTGCCAAATCAATTTTCCCGCCAAAATCAGTAATTAATGGCCCAATTTTGCCCACAAAGAAGGGATGAAATCCTGACCACAAATAACAATCAAAGGCCCAATTTCAATTTCGTAAATAATAGAGAGATCCAAACCATTGATTTTAGACCAAAACTAAAAGCGTTAACCGCACACCTCACTCCCAAACCACAACTGCTACAAACTTTTACGACAACTGCTCTCCATCCCGGAACAAACTTCTCACAGAAAATCTGCGGCTCTACCTTCTTCTTCCTTCTTGGCTGGCGATTGGGATTTCAGAATTTCTGTCTTCTTCGCTGAGATCCAGGGACGCCAAGACAGAGATGCTGCAGTGCTTCTTCTGTTCTTCCATTCTTCTTTGTTGAGTAATAGCGTAAGGTATGTATCCCAATATGTGCTCCATGTTTAAATTGTTTATCTTCTTCGTTGGAGAATTGGAGCAAATGAGATGTTTTCTTCACTGTTTCTCTTCTTCTTTGTTTATCTTCTTTGTGTTAAATCAATAAATCTTTCGTTGGATACTTGAATCAAATGATATTTTTCTAGATCTGTTTTTTTACTAATAAATCTACAATTTGAGTTTAATAGTTATTTTTAACTAATTAAATCTGCATTTTTTTAAAAAATTAATCTACAATTACTAAATCTTACTTTTTTTACTAATTAACTATGTAATTTTTTTTACCAAATGTTAAATCTGCATTTTTTCTAAGTATAGTTTACTTTTACTTTTGATTTTTGAGGATTGTTATTTGTATTAGCATTTAGCAGAACCTCCGATTTCCAAACCTCTAACTTTGTGTTTTTTTTTGGCATTTTGAGGATTGAGTCATCAGTAATTACAAAAAAAAACTCAGTGGATATTTTTTAGTAGAACCCCCAACCCCCCTACTTTTTTTTTTTTGTATTGGTGCTATTGCATATCAGTTTTCAATAATTGTTAACCAGTTTTAGTTTTGTTGGTTATCCAAATATATCGGTTCAGTTTCAGTCTCTTTTTATATACCCCAAAAAAATTGATTAGTTCGGTTTTGGTCTGAAACCAACCAAACCGACCAGATGCTCACCCCTAGAAGCAAAGAAAGAAAAAGGTAAGAGAGATGTTATTAGAGAATGGGATGAAAATCTACTATCATTCTTCATTGTGTTATCTTCTTCTTTGTTTATTTTTGTAATGCTTTTGTGGCCAATAGCTTTCTACTAACATTTCCTTTTAACCGTGGCATTATTATATCAACAAGCATCCTACCTGGGTGTTTGTGTTTAGGAAATTAAATACTTAAATATACTTGTCCTAATTTAAAATTTCCAACCCACTTAGTTCAAATCAATATGTTTTGTCACTTGAATGAAACAAATTATATGTAGTGAGCCTGAAATAATGATGTTTTATAATGTTTCTTCACATCTTTTCTATGGTTTATTTGGTAGGTATAAATGATTTAGAGTTTCTTTGTTAAGATAGAAGCCCACAACACTACTGGTTTGTTGAAGTTGTGTAATTACCTTGTACAACTTAGTTTCTAAGAACTGTTAATGTCTTGATCATCTTGCATTTTTGACTCATTTGCGATCTCTTAGAGTGATATGAATAATGTACGCATAATTCGGCATGGCATACAGATAAAGGATGAGATAACTATTTTCTCAACTAAAGATTATAGAGAGACTACAAAAATATTGCCCCACCATCTTTTACCCACACTTTTGATCAACTGTGAATATTTTAGGAGGAATAAATCATTTTTTGCTGATATGTTGATCAAATATAATTAATTGCTTATAAACTGCCATTCATTGTTTGCACTTGTACTGCTAAATGTTATACTTTTCTTCTTGGCATTGCATTCAATTCAATTGTGAGGTTTATTTCAAGTGAACATATCTTAGTTGGTTACTATGTACATAATGCAGTAATTCAGGATGAGACAATAAGGGAAGCAATTAAGCAAACAATACTGCAAGCCGGGAGAAAGTGAAAATAAGATTACAGATTTCTTCTGCGCAAGGTCTAGAACAAAAATATCAAACACTAAGGTCCATATCTTGCTTATTGTTTTTCCCATTTTATTATATGTAAATTGCCCGACATGCAGTGAGTTTCAATACATATTTGATGTTGGTCATTTCATTACATTCTTGGTCATTTCATGTTGGCTCGTCGAGCAATTCGTGACCACACCTACTCTTACCTCGAGCCGATGAAAAATGAAGCACGCTGACCCTAACAACTTAGAGGTCGAGTTAAACCATTGTTCATCACAACTTGTGGTATTTTTCAATTTTAATTTGAAATGGTTCAGGACTCAGGGGTTAGCCAAAGTTGAATTAAATTTGAGGTTTATGGTTTTCTGAATTCAAAATTAAATGCACATAATGTGTTTGATGAATTGTTTATCGAATATAGGACAATTTTTCTAATAGGTACTGCTTGTTAGCCAAGTATCCTATACCGAGAGGACACTTAAACTTATAAAGTTATGTTTAGAATTGGATTGAACCTATTTTTTGAGTTCGTGAATTTGTAAGTTGCGATTATCTTCTTCTTAAGACCATGTAATATTGGTTGGAAGTCATGTAGGGAGAAAAGAAAGGAACAGGTAAGAGAGGCCTAGGAGAGTGTGTGAACAGGCAATGATGACAACCAGAGGAGACAACTCTAGTGGTTGGAGTGTTGGACGTCAAGCTAGCTGGAACTCCTCGCAAATTTTTGGGCGGGAGGCTTAGCGCCAATAAAATGTGATGTCATGTGCAATGGAATGGTCCGTTGCAGACGTAATCCCCATTTTTTACAAAACTAGATCGTTTTGGTTTACGCCCGTAATATTTGTTAGGCTCTGCAACGGAACTTGCGATGAAAATCTCCGTTGCAAAGCGATTAGTTTAAAAAGAATATCTACCTTCTTTCCCAAAATCTGCACAGCGGGTAGAGATAGAGGCAAAGCGGCGCAACGAAGAACCGATGGAAAACTTCATTCCAGACCTAATTTCTTCAATTTGAAGTAATCTTTTTACATTTTTATTGCAATTTACTTGTTTATTTTCATTAAAATATGATTTATTTTAGAAAAATTCATTTTAAGGGTTATGGTGTTATTTTGGATAAGGTTGATGTGTTTGGAAGGGGGCTGGGGTTGCGGGATATTGGAGGAGTAGGGACTAAAAACATATTTCACTTTAATTATAATTACTCATTAATATATGAAGCACACACTAATATTTTATTTTTAGACCCCAAATGTTAAACTAAATAAAAAAAAATTGCCCACGCATTGCACGGGTGAAGTACTAGTTCACTATTATATTTCCTTACATTTCGAGTGCCAATTACGTTTGACGCTAGTGGAATAATATTTCCTAGTTCTAAAATATATTGGGCTTCGTTTATGCCAAATTTATTTACATGAAAGTGTCCAGAATACATAATATGAGAACAAAATAATCAAATATAGGCAAACACATCAATTATGCATATAGAGAGATTAAATGGAGATCAATTGAGAGATATGCAGCACGCATTCTTACGACATGTTACTCCTTTGTCTAGGAAAGATCTCCTCTAATGCCCCTTTTTTGTCAGGCAAAGAATTTTTTATTACTTTTTTTTAAACATTTGTTTTGAAAAAAAGATAATCTTTTCTTCCTGCATAGGAATTCCAAAAAAAAAAACTATAGCAATTCTTACAACTATCTAATCGGACACCTACTGTAATACCGTGATATATAAATAAATGGATTGGGGATAGAAAAGGTTCAAAAGGATTGGTAGTACTACTCATACCAACAAGGTGCATCTTCTTTTCGAGATCTCATCACTTAGAAATTCTAAAGTTGAACGTGCTTGACTTAGAACAATTCTATAGTGGGTGATCCCTTGGGAAGTTCCCTGGGCGTGCACAAGTGAAGATGAGTGCACGGAAAAGACTTTTGTTGGTTTGTGGATCAGTCTACAATCCTATGAGCAAACGCTGACGGCTAGGGTTGGGGGCATGGTGTTACAAATGGTATCAGAGCAACCTTGCAACCGTAACAGGCCTACGAGCTTAGTTCACGTAGTAGGGGAGAATTAGGGGTTTGACAAATAAGTATGCAATGAGGATGTTGCATTCTTAAGTGGAGGTGAATGTAATACCCTAATATGAAAATAAATGGTTTGGAGAAAGAAAAGACTTAAAAGGATTTTTAGTATCACTCATATCAACAAGGTGCATCTTCTTTTCGAGAGTTCATCACTTTGAAACTGCAAAGTTAAGGGTGCTAGACCTGGAGTAATTCTAGGATGAGTGACTTCCTGGGAAGTTTCCTGAGAACTTATGTTGGTTTATGGGACCAAATTATAATCCTATGAGCAGACAACTACGGTTACCTTGGGGGTTGGGGTGTTACACCTACGGTGCTCTATTTGTAAAATTAATTACTAATTATTCCTACTTCTTAATCCCCCAAGCCTGTCCCATTTCTAACCCCCCATTACACCGCTTTTCATTTTGTTGACTTTGTTGACTTCAACAACTCGTGTTTTGAACAATGCCATTTCCCGAGAAATGGGCTTCCATGTCAACAGGTGTATTATGGTCGATTCATTGTCATGTAATTGGACTAATGAGTTAGTAGCGATTGTTGCCAATTGTGATTCTATCAGTTCTATAATTATTTTCCTTACGGGTTTGTTTCATTCAACTTATTTTTTCAATTTAAAATCTATTCCTTCATAATACCCTTGCATTGGTTGAGAATTGTTGTTTCCTCATATTTGGGATTAATCTACACTTTTGGAAAAATGAGATGCATTTTCTTGATTTGTAGCAATTCCTTGATTTGTAGACCATTTTCTTATTCTTTCGTACACTAAAACAAAAAGACTTTTTGAATCGATTATTTTGACCCTTTTAAATTGGTTTTGAACCGATGCAAAAGCCAGCGATGCAAATGCTCAGGTTACTTCTTGCATCGGTTGTAAAACCAATGCAGAAGCCTCTTCGCAGAAATGGCGCCAATTCTAGGAAGAGGCTTTTGAATCGGTTATTTGGTAATAATTGATACAAATGCCAAAGCTTTTGAATTGGTTATTACCAAATAACCGATTCAAAAGCCCTTTTCCCATTTATGGGAATAGGCTTTTGAATCGGCTATTACCAGATAACCGATGCAAAAAATAATTTTTTTCAAAATGAATTTTTTATTTGCTCTCGATCCACTACATTTTCAATTTTGCACAAAATTCTGTGCAAATTATACAGATTCAACAACAAGAACAATTCAACCCATCAACACAACAGCAACTAACACAAACCAATAACAAACCCAAATACATTCACAAAACTCGAACGCTACAAAACAAATTAAACCAAAAAAGTAAACATTTGCATCCACCACTTGTACACCTTAAAAAATACCAAGAGTAAAACAACTACTCTTCTAAGTTTTAAGAACACAACTAAGAGTCAAACAACTACACTCTACTAACATACATTTAATAGTATACAATATAACACAAACTTACACTAGTTCATTGAGAAAACCCCCCGCCCAAAACTCTCTAACCTCTTCTAATTCGGCTCTAGTATAAGGCAAAGTAGACTGAAATACCTGCAATACGAAAAAAACATAAAACATAAAGTTTAATAATCTATGAAAAAGATTATGATGATAAACACTTCTATACTTTCAAAAACACACTAAAATAAACTTACATCAGATAACGGTAAAAAACATTGTGCACACATAGTGACGATGAGCCATAAAACTCGCATGGTATAATAACCACACTCAATGTTCCCTACTTGTTGGGGTACTTTGGGAACATCAACCCAATCAAGTCGAGCCTTAAGTTGAGGCATGTGCCGTTCCTGAAGTAACCGCCAAGACCTTTAATATGTGTAAAAAACAAGTTAATAAGAAATTAATATCTTAACAAATAAAGAATTTCATTAATAAGAAATAAATTTCTTAATACTTACTCGTTGACGAAAGTCTTCACTTTCATTTTCTTATGCCCTTCGGTCGCCTTGATTGAGTTTAGGAAATACACTTTATTTTCAAACAAGCGTATTACTACTAACACCCAATGATGCCTACAATTAAAAAAGCGTTAGTCACTAACTTAAAATAAAAAACCAAAATACATATTAGAAATGGTTTAGAAAACATACGATATCCATAGATACAACGGAATAAGTGATAAGTTTTTAAATGTTATATTTTATACACATTTAAAATGCATTTTATACCCGTTTTAGCATGTTCCAAATGCATTTTATACACATTTAATCACTATTATGTTTATATAGCAATTAAGGCCTTTATTTATATTTTACTCATAAAATGCATTCTTTTGTTTATTCTTTTAGTTCACTATTTTTATTATATCTTTTACCTTGACGTAGGTTTTAAAAATCGTTTTAAGGAGCACTAAAGGGCTCGGTGATTCCGGGGGCTGTCAAGAATTAGATGGAGAAAGTTAAAAGGGCCAAGTGATCTGGGACATGACCCATGAGCCATTACGCAACTCCAAGCCAACAGGGTGTAGAATTCAGAATTGGCACTGAAGACTCCTACTTTGATTCTACCTGTGCGAGTACGTAGAAGACTTGGACTCAGCTTCTGAGTCCTAATTGAAGACGGGAAGCTGATTTCCAGCCCCTATAAAACGCAGCAGCAAGCAGTGAAGGAAGGAGGAGAGAACACGACTAGGGCAGCGGCTAGTAATGAGGACTGAAATCACAGAGGGTACGACCCTTAGGGGGTCTGGACTTCGGTCCAGATCCTCCTATTCTTTCTTCTTTATGTTTTTCCTTTGTTGTTTTCTTTCAACAATTGCTATTCAAGACTTCCAGCTACTTTTTGTCTACTCAAATTTGGCATGTTCTAGTTTTTTTTCCCTAGTTGGAATTGTTATCAAGATTTATTTGTTTTGGGTTGAACATCTGCCCTGCACTCATTTTATTCAAGAGTATTAGTTTCAATGTTGTTCTTAAATTGTCCAATTTGTGTTACTTCAATCACATATTTTAATAATTTATGAAAGTATTGAAACTAAGAGTTTTGAATGATTCTGGTGGTGGTTATGTCTAACCTATTTAGCTTGTTGTGTTTGTTTAGTACGTATATATGTTCTTCTTGTTCATCTCTGGATTGCTTAGATTAACTAGCCTGTGAAATAATTGAACCTCTCTTATCAAAGACATATTCAGTAGCCCAGTTGAATGCTTGGTTCAAGGATTCTTGACGGAGTAATGTGCTTTGGGAGATGTTCTAAGCCTTAGTGCTAGCGGTTGGTTTGAACTCAAAAATGGTGTTTGAAAACTGATTCTGTTTATGCTTGGGTTAGATAAATTTAGGATGGCCACCTAAACACTAATTCCAAATTGATAATTTTAAAGATCTTGAGTACGTTAATAGCTGAGATTTTCAAAACACAAGTGTTTAAAAATACTTTATAGTATTTTTAAAGAACAGAATGTGTTTTCCAAAACTATAAACACAAGTGTTTAAAAATACTTTGATGAGTTTGATTAATGTGTTTAAAAAGGGGTTTGCATCTCTGAGAACCAGTTTGGTATCATTTTTAAACACAATCTGGATTTGATCAATGTGTTTTCCAAACCCCTTTCCGCACCCTATACTCAATGATTCGCTCCCAAACCTTCATGTTCTTTACATTCTGTTTCTTTCCCTTTTTCAAGTCAGAAGTAATACTTTGCGTGTTTTGCCTCTTGTTGGGTCATTTTCTTAGAATTAGCAACATCTTGGGTCAAGGTATATCCCTTATAATGCAAATTAATAAGTCTTTAGGATGTTTTGCTTCTAAAACCTGATCTGGGCAGCAACAAAAGTAGTCTTTAGACTGTAATAAGAGAGCCCCTGGACTTTTTATGACCTTTTAAATGAACATCATGAATGGTTTTGGAAAATTGCTTCTCTTAAGTAAGACGAGGTTCATTTTTAGATGCTCTAAGGAACTTATTTGTCATTTTCTCTACCAGGATAAAACGAAAAGAGCTTGGATACTAAATGATAAAAGTTTTGAACTAAAACCAAATAAAAAAATCAGCCCTTTTTGCAGCACCTAATCAAGTGATAAAGATAAGTTTTAAGAATTCTAATACCGTTCTTGTTTCAAGTTGCAGCTTTGTGTACTTGCATGCTGTTAAGGAGTGGAAGAGTTATTGGAGAAACAATTGAGCTAGGTTACAATCACCAGGTAAGTGTGGCTGGACTTGACTCTTTTAATTTCCAAACGTGTGAAGCTGTGCCTGAGTCTGGTTGTGAAGTTTCCAACGTGTTTGTTGCTGATTCTGAATCTGATTTTGAGATAATATTTGGAAACCTTTTTGAAGTCAAAACTGAACAAAAAATGGCTACTTTGAAAGAACTTGCTGACCCTGATTTAAATGTTCAACCTTTGGCTATTACTTACACTGAATTGGAAAAACCTTTAAAGCTGAATTCTGGGTTTATAAATCTTTTGCCTAAGTTTCATGGTCTTCCTGGAGAGGATTCCTTCAGGCACATCTCTTAATTTCTGATTACCTGTGATGCTATGGTGCCTGAAGGGGTTGCTCAGGGCCAAATTAGGTTGGGAGCTTTTCCTTTTTCCTTATGTGATAAAGCTAAAGATTGGTTATATTATATGCCTGCTGGTTCTTTTACAACATGGAATGCTTTACATAAGGCTTTCTTAGAGAAATACTTCCCAGCCTCTAGCATAGGATCTATTAGGAAGGATATCTGTGGGGTCAAACAAATGATAGGTGAAAATTTTTCTGAATATTGGGAGAGGTTTAACAAGCTTTGTGCTTGTACGGGTGTTGTAGTTTAAAGACTTGTTAACAACTAAGTTATAAAAATACTTCCTGAGGAGGGGTGACTATCCTTATTACATCTACGACGTTCACCTCCTCGGGAACAATTGTTTTGGGGATGAGTTCGATCCCTGCTTTTTAACTTGATTGCTCAGAACACCCAACAATTTGGAACAAGAGAAACACTGGTTAAAAAAGTCAATGAACTTGAAAGTAAATCAATTGAACAAAAGCTTTCTGAACTCACCTGTATGATGTCAAAACTTGTTTCTGGGGGTGGGAATGTTAGGGGGATCCATTGTGGAGTGTGTTGTCTAGAAGGGCATGCAACTGATGCTTGTCCGACCCTTCAAAATCCTGAAGTCAATGCTGTTTTTTACAATAATCAACAAAGAAAATATGATCCATATTCAAATTCTTATAATGAGGGCTGGAAGGATCATCCAAATCTTAGATATGGCACTCCTCAAAACAATAATCAGAATTTTAATCAAGCAAATAGGGGAAATCTGAATTTAAATCATCAACCTAGCCAAGATAGAAGTGCCCAGATGTTTGAACAAATTCTTAAGAAAATGGATGACAAGTTTTCAAGTTTCGATTCAACTCTTAAACAAGTTCAAGAAAAACAAACAGCTACTGATGTGATAATAAGCAACTTGCAGGCTCAAATGAATCAAAGAATCCCTTCTCAACCTTTTCCAAATCCAAAAGAAAACATAAGTGTTGTGGTTTTAAGGAATAAGAAACAATTGCCTGAACCTAAGGGTAGGGATAGGTTTGAGAGTGAGAAAGAAGTACCTAAAGTTGTGAATCTTGAGTTGGATGAGGCTACTGTTCCAAACAGCAGTTCTCATGGGGCTGAAACAGTGGGAAAAACACCTAGGGGATAACACGGACCAAGGGAAAAGGGTAGAAGACATTGTCAGACCTAAAGCTCCCTTCCCGAGTAAGTTCCTTAGCCAAAAATTAAGTTCCTTAGCCAAAAATCTAGGAATAAAGACTTAGATCATGAACTTTTAGATACCTTTAAGAAGGTAGAGATCAATTTGCCCCTCTTTGAAGCCATCAAACAAGTGCCTAAATATGCAAAATTCTTAAAAGAGCTGTGCACTAATAAGAAAAGACTTTCTGGGAATGAAAAAATCCAAATGAGTGAAAATGTTAGTGCTGTTTTTCAAAATAAAATGCCTCAAAAATGCAAAGATCCTGGGGTTTTTTCTATACCTTGTCAAATAGGGAGTCTTAAATTTGATAGGGCAATGCTTGATTTAGGTTCTTCTATAAATGTAATGCCAAAAGATGTTTTTGAACAACTACACATAGGAGATCTTAAGAGAACAGGAGTGGTAATCCAATTGGCAGATAGAAGTTACACTTATCCTGAAGGGAATCTGGAAGATGTTTTAGTCCAAGTAAATGATTTTGTTTTCCCTGCTGATTTCTATATTCTGGATATGGGAACAGATAAAACTGACATTCCCATTCTATTGGGAAGACCATTTTTGAAAACTGCAAGAGCTAAAATTGATGTCCATGGTGGGACTTTAACAATGGAATTTGATGGAGAAATAATAAACTTTAATCTTTTTCAAGCAATGAAGTATCCAGATGAAGGTGACCAAGTTTTTTCAATAAATCTGATTGACGAGTTAGTCGAAGAGGTTTTTATTTTAAATAAGGAGGATGAACTTTTAACTGTTTTGACCGAGAGTCTTGATCCTATTTTTCTTCAAAAGTATGGTTTTAATACTCCTGATGAGGTATATTTTTATGCTGAAAATCTGTCCACTTTTGAAGAAGTAAAATCAGCCTTACAACTCACTTTACTAATTAAAACCACCAAAACAGCTCATTCTTTAATTTCTCCACCTGAATTGACTTTAAAAGAACTCCCAGATCATCTCAAATATGCTTTTTTAGGCCCTAATAACACCCTGCTAGTGATAATTTCCAGTCTTTTAACAGAAGATCAAGAGTCAATGTTACTTAGGGTATTAAAAGAACATAGTGCAGCAATAGGATGGACTTTAGCTGACCTTAAGGGACTTGATCCTACTCTGTGCAGCCATAGAATCACCCTAGAACCTGATGCCAAGCCCAAAGTAGATGCCCAAAGAAGGTTGAACCCTCCTATGATGGAGGTAGTACAAAAAGAAATCCTTAAGTGGATAGAGGCAGGTGTCATTTACCCTATAGCTGATTCTGAGTGGGTGAGTCCAATACACGTAGTGCCTAAAAAGGGAGGAACAACAGTGGTAGTGAATGATCAAGGAGAATTAATTCCCACTAGAACACAAAGTGGTTGGAGAGTGCATAGATTATAGGAAACTTAATCAAGCCACTAAAAAAGATCACTTTCCCCTGCCCTTTCTAGACCAAATGGTTGAAAGATTGGCAGGAAAGTCACACTATTGTTTCCTAGATGGTTATTCAGGATACCTACAGGTACCCATTGCCCCATAAGACCAAGATAAGACTACTTTCACTTGCCCTTTTGGAACATATGCGTTTAAGAAAATGCCTTTTGGTTTATGCAATGCACCAGCAACATTTCAAAGATACATGATGAGTATTTTCACTGAATTTTCTTCTAAAATCATGGAAGTTTTTATGGATGACTTTACTGTATATGGAAATGGTTTTGAAGAATGCTTGCATAACCTGACCTTAGTTTTAAAAAGGTGCATTGAAGTTAAGTTGGTGCTGAATTTTGAAAAATGTCACTTCATGATTGAGAAAGGGGTAGTACTAGGTCATGTGGTTTCTTCTAAAGGGATGGAGGTTGATCCAGCAAAAGTGGACATAATTTAAACCCTTCCTTACCCCAAAAATCTGAAAGATATTAGATCTTTTTTAGGCCATGTTGGGTTCTATAGGAGGTTCATTAAAGATTTTTCCAAAATAGCTTTGCCTCTTACTGCTTTGCTTTCAAAAGACACCCCATTTGTTTTTGATGAGAAATGTAAACAATCTTTTGATCTTTTAAAAGAAAAACTCACTTCAGCCCCCATAATGCAGCCACGTAACTGGTCTTACCCCTTTGAATTAATGTGTGATGCAAGTGACTGGGCAGTTGGGGCTGTTTTGGGGCAAACATTTGGGAACCAATCTTATGTGATTTCATATTCCAGCACTACACTCGACCCAGCCCAAAGAAATTACACCACAACAGAGAAAGAAATATATGCTGTAATCTTTGCTCTTGAGAAATATAGAATATACCTGTTAGGAGTTAAGATAACCATTTACACTGGTCATTCAGCTTTGAAATACTTAATAAAGAAGCAACACACTAAGCAAAGATTGATTAGATGGATTATGTTCATGGAAGAGTTTCATATGAAATAAAAGATAGGGCAGGAAGGTTGAATTAGGTGGCTGATCACCTCAGTAGGATAGAAAACAATAAAGAAAATCTAGATCCTTTCACTGGGACCTTTCCAGATGAGAGTTTATACTTTGCTTCTCATGTTCCTTGGTTTTCTGATATTGTTAACTACATAGTCACCGGAGCCTTTCCCCCTGGAATGCCTAGTTCATTAAGAGAAAAGATTCAATCTCAAGCAAGGTTTTACATTTGGGATAACCCATACCTGTGGAAAATGTGCTCTGATCAAGTGGTAAGAAAGTGTGTAGGAGATTATGAGATAAATTCAATTTTGCATTTTTGTCACACTTTAGAGGGTGGGGGACATCTAGGACCTCAAAGAACAGCCCATAAGATTCTTGAATGTGGTTTTTATTGGCCTACAATCTATAAGGATAGTGCTGAATTTTGTAAATGTTGCCCTAAGTGTCAAAAAACTGGAAGCTTGTCTCAAAAAGATCAAATGCCACTGAAATCCATTTTTGTTTGTGAACTGTTTGATGTTTGGGGTATGGACTTTATGGGGCCTTTTCCCAATTCATTTGGAAACACCTATATTCTCTTATTTGTTGATTATCTTTCAAAATGGGTTGAAGCCGTTCCTACTAAAACTGATGGTGCCAAAACAGTGGCTAAGTTTGCTCAAAGTCTGATTATTAACCGGTATGGAGTGCCTAAGGCATTCATCAGTGATAGGGGAACTCATTTTTGCAACAAAGTCCTGACCCAACTGTTTTCAAAATATCACATAACTCAGAAAATTTCCACAGCTTACCATCCACAAACAAATGGCCAGGCTGAAGTTTCAAATCGAGAATTAAAGAGGATTTTGGAGAAAATAGTTAGAAAAGATTGGAGTTTAAGGCTAGATGAGGCCTTATGGGCCTATAGAACTGCCTTTAAAACACCAATAGGCATGTCTCCTTATAGGTTATTTTTTGGGAAAGCGTGTCACTTACCTGTTGAGGTTGAACATAAGAGTTACTGGGCTGTCAGGACAGTAAATTTAGAATATGATAAGGCTGGTAGAGAAAGGAAATTACAACTCTTTGAACTAGAAGAAATCCGGCTTGAGGCATATGATAACTCAGTAATTTATAAGGGAAAAGCCAATGCATTCCATGATGCAAAACTGACCAGAAAATCTTTCGAGGCAGGAGATAAGGTTTTACTTTACCAATCCAAATTTCATTTGTTTCCTGGAAAACTAAGATCTAGGTGGATAGGTCCTTATGAAGTGCTTAAAGCTTATAACCATGGTGCTGTTGATATAAGAAGCCTTGCTACTAACAAAATTTTCAAAGTAAATGGCCATAGGTTGATGCTTTACAGGGAAGGTGTCCTGGTAGGACTCGTGGAGGAGATAATTCTAGAGGACATTCCTCTAGACGTTTGGTTGGAGATGTAGTGAAGCTTGCAAGGGTCTAGCCAAG